TGTTGTAACTGTAAATGGTTGCTGTACGAGGCAGTCCCTAAACGAAGACTACCTCTATTAGACATGGAGTGGAAAATGGCAAGAGACATATATTAATATGGAAGCCCAATCCCATTCTTCTCCCCTGGGCAAGCATGGCTCCCTTCTCCTTTTGAGGTTCTGGCTTTAAATGTGAGAAAAATAAAAGGCAGCACCATTGCCCAGTAGTTCAGGTACAAATAAATGGGAGAAGGAAGTCACGCTGAGTCTTTCTCCTTTTCTGGGAAGAAATAACTTCTTCAGTGTCCCACATTAGGATAGTCAGTAATAAATAGCCAGGAAGGTGGGCTCGGATTAACTTGTAATTTAACTTCCATTTTTAGAGAAATGCCTCATGAATGGATCTGGTGAATATGACATGGCATTGAAGGACAGCAACACAGAACAGTCCCTGAACAGTTTACTGAGCAGGATAATGGCTCCTTTTTAGGGTCAAACTATCAGAACAATAGCTCTTATTGGAAAGATTCCCTTGAAATTTTAAGCATATGACTTAAACAATTCTTGTGGTAAGATACTTCTTTTTGGCTCAAAGGTTATTCTTCCAGTTCCTCTTTTATAACTTTTTTTCCATTGGAATTTCATGATCCGCACGGGGAGTTCAGCCGCCCAACAATCTTAAGATAAGAACCTCCACCTTTTTACAGTTCAAAAGTAGTTTCCACCCTTTTACAGTTCAAAAAACTTTTGGAGAATTCCAAAAGTTTAGATCCTTTTTAGATCTAAAGGACATGAAAATTGCCCTATAAAACATCCAAAACAAAAACAGCTGGAAACAGCCTTTCTATCTCCTCATATGGGTTGATAGAGAACATTAGGGCAATGTTCAATCGTATCAACCTTATCATTTTGGCTGGGGAATTCTGGGAGTTGAAGTCCACACATATTAAAGCTGCTGAAGTTGAGAAACACTGCATTAGATCCTCTGGACTGGTTCCAGATTTGAGGGGCCTGAAAAGTGAGGGGAATATGAAGTGAGGAGAATTTCCCTTGCGTACCTGGCACTAAACAGCCAGGTAAGCTTGTCTGGTTGCTGTTAGATGCCTGGAGGGCTGTTAGATTTAATATGCCAGCTAGATACAGCTATTCAAAAGGCCTGGTTGGAATTAAAAAAAAGTTGGGTTTACCTTGTCATGCAACTGCATTAAGCCCTGGAATCTCAGCACCAGTCTATGGATGTACAGTGGTACCTCGGTTTACGAACTTAATTCGTTCCGTGACTCTGGTTGCACCCCGAATTGGTCGCAACCCGAAGGAAATTTCCCCATAAGGTTCAATGTAATTACCGTTAATTCGTTCTGGCGTGGAGGAGAGGGAGGCAGTTATTGCTTGGAGGGAGAGTCCCCCTCCCTACGACCATGTGTCAGGGGCAGAAAATTGGCCGCGGACCACGTGTCA